TTAATTTACATGCAGTGAAAGAAGGACCAAATCACATGTGAAACCCGCAAATATGTAATAAATCTGCAAAACAGTTTTCAATACATGTGAAACAAACAATGTTCATGTAGTATTGTATCATTTGTAACATAAAACATTCAAAACTGTTATACGTGTGAAAAAACACGAGTATCTATTTTTTATATGAAACACAAATATATACACAAGAACATAACATGTGTCACAATACCTCCAGAAGCATAAGTCGATAACTTAATCAAACTCATTCAAATGAAAAGACATTCAACTTACGAGAAGTGCAAGAAAAGACAAATCACATTGTAATTTTATAGGAAAAATACATGTGATTTATTACACATCCAGAAAAATTGCATCGACCAACCACTGAACAGACGGTTTTTTGCATTAACTTGTCGCTCACATTCTTCCGGACTTGTGTAAATCACACGTGATTTGACATTTCTCACCCATCTCTCGTTATTACTCTTGTTTTTGTTTTTATAGAATCAGAACTTTAAAGTATCTATACTATATTATAAAGCATTTGACAAAAACTTTTAAAAACCATTTTTTATGCGTAAAGTACTGTTTATTAATGCATATTACTCAAAACTTAAGATTGCAAGTAAATTTTGCGTAAGTACAACTTATTAAAGTTCCATATCTGAATTCGTGTAACTAACTGCAGATAAACGTCTCATTTTAAATATAAAAAAATTTAAAATATAATTAGGATAATTATTGAGTTCTAATAGAATACTTAATTATTATCTTTTTAAAATGTTATATTATTAAACAAAAAATAAATTATTTCGTTTTTAAACTTAAATTATAATAAAAAAATAAATTAAAGAAATTACATAAAAAACGAGAGCGTTTAAAATAGTTGATTTGATATTAACACTGATATTTTTTATGATATCTTCAAATTTATATTTTATTCAAAATTAAAATCATTATTGTTTTCTTAAAAACACACAAAATCGTATTATAACATCAACAAAGACAAATAATAAAATAAAATATTAAAATTGAGATGTGTCTCGCTGCATGTGCGAGTACTCTTATAAATTTTTTATTAAGGGGAGCTCAATGAGCATAAAACTCAAATTTTCTACAAAAACAATATAAAAATAAAAATTTAAATTTAAATTAATGTCTTATTTTTATTATTTTAAACTTAAAAATAAATTAGTATTCAACCAGACAAATATGAAGTCCATTTAATAGAAAATATATATATTAATTAATACAATTTTGGTCCCATTAATTGGGGATTTTTTTTCCTTGTAATGTTAGGCATAGAAGCATTTGACCAAGTATTTTTCAAAAATGTGCAGATGAATTTTCAAATCCATGTGTATTATTAAATTATTAATTATAAAACATATATAAAAATAAAATAAAAACTATTATAAATATATAAAATTATATCTATACTATATTACAAAGTATTTGATAAAAACTCTTAAAAATACACAATTTGAAGTATTATGTATTAATGCATATTACTTAAAGTTTGAAATTATAAGCAAATTGTGCGTAAGTAGAACTTATTAAAGCTTCATTTTCGAATTCGTATAACTAACTGCAGATAAACATAATCAAATACAAAATAAACTTATTATATTAAATATAAAAAATCTAAAATATAATTAGGATAATTATTGATTTCTAACAGAATTATTATCTTTATAAAAAGTTTATTGTTAAGTCAAAAATAAATTAATTCATTTTGATCTACATTAAAGTATAATAAAAAAATTGAGTTATAAAAATTGTAAAAAAATGAGAACTTTTAAATAGTTGGTTTGATATTAATGTCGATATACTTTTTCAAATTTTTATGATGTATTCAAATTTATTTTTAGTCAACAGTAAAAACATTATCTTTCTCAATTAAAACCACATAATATTATATCAACAAAGACGGAAAATAAAATGAAACACTAAAATAAAGATGTATTTCTCGGCATTACGTGAATACCCTTCTAGTATACAAATATAGGGGCCATTTAAAGAAGAACTTGATATGCTGCTGGATTGGCTGTAAGGCTTGCTTGGCTACCCAACGTTTATCGTGGGCACGATAACTGGTACACCAGAGGTGCGACGTTCTTGGCAAGGTTGTGTGTCCAAATTAACCTCGTCTTGATTGAAAGGACTTTCTAAGAATCCAACGAATCACTATTAGATTGAGATTGGATGGATAATTTACTTTTTGCCAAATTATTTCCGATGTAATCATGAAAGGCTAATTTTTCAAGAATTTTATTGTGAGATCGTTGAGATTCAATCTTACACTTTAAATTTTAGCAGTCAATGGTTCAATTAATAGGGTTAATGTTTGGTAAAAATCCATTAAATTTCGGAATCTTAAATTTATGGATTAGAGATAAAGCAGTCCTTTTGTAAATCTCTCATCTCCTCTCTTTCTCTGGTGATTATTACCAGTTTAAAACTCCATCAACGAACCATTGTGAACCTTGCTCCGGCAAATACCTTGTGGAGGTTACCAATTTCATATTCAGTCCACAGTCTGATTCATCTTGAAACCCATTAAAATGTTTAAACCCGAAAACAACAAAAGGATACAAGAAAAGGAAATCCTTCCATTATTAATTAAATAAATACATTTAGGGGCCGTTTACTAAACACTTACTTGGTAAGTGTTTAATGCATAAAATTTCTCACTGGATGAACAAGAAAAGGGCCAAGAATTTTACCGGGTAAGAGCGATGAGAAGGATGGAGAGTCTTACCCGGTAAGTAAGGATAACGATTCTTACCCAGGTAAGCGCTTACCCAGGTAAGCGCTTACCCAGTAAATTGTTGTATTCGATATGTTTTGATATACTAAAATCTTACGAATCAAAAAAAATTGTAATGTTGACTCCTATTGATAAGCGCTTACCAGGTAAACATTTGGGTAAACGACCCCTTACTCATGTCAAATGATTGGTGTTTATCAGATCTTACGAATTTTATAAAATTTTAAAGTTCTCATTTAATTAAGCCTATATATTTTAAAAAAGGTAATTTTTTCTCATTAAGCCGGGACGATGAAATGATAACATATAGGGTGCTCATGGGTTGAGGTTGATTGATTCGTAAGATTTTAATAGAAATTCAACAATCATATTAAACCCAAGAAATGAGTTTAAATAATAATAACAATATCAACCTAATACCTACGGTTTGAAAATCTTACAACTCGATTAGACATCGGATTGTTTCAGATTGAATTATTTCGTATTGGGTTGAGTTGAACGGCTTGGTCGAGTTTTTAAGCACCCTTAATAACAGACGTGACTGTAGACATTAAACCATATCCGGCTGTAGCTTAAATTAAACAATTTAATTATAATAAAATTACAATGTAAACGTGGGGATATAACAGACATTATAATTCATCTCTTTAAATTAACGTCAATAACATGTATTTGTAATTGTAAAACTTATTACTTTTAGAGTAATTAATCTTTGATTTACTATTTTTCTAATATAATTAATCAGTTAAAAAATGTATTACTGAAATCATTACATTTTTAGAATTGTTATAAAAATATTCGACTATTAAAAATTGTTTTAAAATAATTAAAATTTTAAAAAAACTATAAATCCGTTCATATTCGTTATTATATTAGAAATTATTTCACAGTTGTTGAATGGTTTGATGTAGAATGATTAAGAAGCTCACATGATAGTGCAAAATAAAATATAATTGTTTGGTAATTATTTACAATATAAGATGTTGAATGGTTAAAGAAAACCCATGATATAAAATCATTCAGAGGATTTAAAATCATTAAGAAACAATTTTTTTTGTCAAACAAGATTCATCTCTTATAATTTATAAATTGTATTTTAATAAAACTATTAGAAAGTAAACAAAAAAATTATGTTAATGTCATCATAACTACAATATTTTTTTAATATCGTGAATTAAAATGTGTGTGCGAATAATTTATTCAAATGGATTTTAAACGAAAAAGGATCGAGAAGATACAGACCGTCACGTGGTCTCCACGTGTTAACAAAGGAGCGGCTGATGGTCACACACTCACTCTATGGAATACCTCCTCTCCTCACAAGTCAACACCCATAATTATTAACTAATTTATAATCAAATTAAAATTATATTATTTAGTTTTATTAATTAACATATAATATTATCAACAATTTATTTTACTTATATTATCCAATATTATTATTTACTAATTTTAATGTCATTTTACATTTTTCTTAAACTAGTTTTTTTTTAATGTCAACATAAATCTTTCGTAAACTAAGCCTCCGTCATCAAATGTTACAAAATTAACAACTTACCAATCAAGAGTCAAGTTCATAAAAGAAAAACAAATCAATACAAAAACACAAAAACAACAGATTCACATATGATTTTACACTAACATCACATGTGATTCATACGACTTTGTCCATGTCGCTTGTTCGCATTAACCGTATTCTATAATCGCATGTAATTCATATCTGATTCGACCTCGTTCTGTTCTCTTATTTCAACCTCGTTCTCAAAAGTCTTTGGTTAGAAGTTGGTGAAGCCACCAAGAAAAGTTTGAGGGTGATTACGTCGCCATAAATGGCGGAACCCAAACTTCCAAAGCAAACCCGACTCCCGACTACTATAAATTGCAACCTTTTACTTCACAAACTTACACACGAAAAACTTGTAGAATTACAAGTTTTATTTCTAAATCATAAGAATTTTGTTCTATAAATCCATGGATTCTTCGAATATCTTCAAAAGTTGTTTAGTTTTTACGATTATTTTCACCTTCTCCGTCCAAACGACGTTAGGCAAGTTCGATACATACATACATATGTATCGGTTGTTTTCGTGTAAACTTTGTCTTATTTAATGTAATTCGGTGAAAATTTTGTGTGTAGGAAGTATTGCGTGTGAGAATCTGAAGAAGGATTCGTGTGCGTTTGCGGTATCGTCAAGCGGGAAGCGTTGTGTTCTTGAGAAGAGCGTTAGGAGGAGCGGGGAGGAGGTGTTTATTTGTAGCACCTCACGAATTGATACCAATAGGTTGACAGACTGGATCGAAACCGACGAATGCCTAGAGGCGTGTGGGCTTGACCGGAACGTACTAGGGATCTCGTCCGACTCCCTTCTCGAGTCACGGTTCACGCAAAAACTTTGCTCGACTCGATGTTACAACGGTTGCCCCAACATTGTTGATCTCTACTTCAATCTTGGTATCGGTGAAGGTGAAACAATCACCTTTTCTTATTACATGCATGCTCTTATGATTGCTTTCACATCAAGTTTCTTGATATTCTCTTCTTATGTTTCTTACCTTAATTTTTATTTTCATACGGTCCTTCGCCTTAACTATATGTTTGACTTTATTTGACTCGAGTTTTATTTCGTGGAAAAAGGTGTATATTTGCCGAGCCTCTGCCAGGCACCAGGGGATAACAAAAGGAGGGGGATGAGCGAGATCAGGAGTTCGGGCAACGTCGCACCTGGACCCGTGATGTCTACAAGCCTTATGGTTGATGGTTCCCCGAACATTGCTCCTTCTCCGGCTAGTTCCTATTAGTCAAGCTCGATCGTAACATAGAACGAGCATAGCCAGATCTCCGATGTACTCGTCGAGATGTTCGAATCTTAGCTGCTTAGTTTTGAATAAGGATGAATCATCCAAAAATAAAGTTGTGTAATGTCATCATCATATATATGCATATGAAAGAGTGTGATATCATTGTAAGATAGACCATCAGACAATTACAAGTTTTTTGAGTTTCCAAATTACATAATTGCTGAACAAGCATTATAATTGGCTGAATGGTTGGACTCCTAGTCAGGATTGGACTGTTAAGTGCCGTTTACCAAATGCTTACCCAGGGTAAGCGTTTACCAAGTCACTTTACTTTACCGAATGAATATGGTAAAGACTAATAATCTTACCTGGTAAGAGGGAAGGCAAGAATCGAGAGTTTTACCGGGTAAGTGAGGACGACGACTCTTACCATGGTTAGTGCTTACCGGGATAAATTGTTGCATACGATGCGTTTTAGCTTAGTGAATAAATCTTACCCGATAAATAAGTGATAGTGTTGAATTTTACCGATAAGTACTTACCGGGTCAAAGACCTTCCAGTCTAGCGGTAAAGGCTTGGGCATGACATAGTCATGAACCCGAGTTCGAACCCTGGGAGGGGAGTGTTGGCGACATTTAAGTGGGGCATGTTTAGCCTCCAAATTTGTCGGGGATTAGTCGGGCTTTGGCCCGAACACCCTTACAGAAAAAAAAAGTACTTACCGGGTAAGTGTTTAGGTAAACGGCCCCTCAGTGAGCCACCCGAAGGACCGTTGCATATCTGTATACCTCATTTATTTCCCATATAATGTATTTGAGACCGAATGATATGGGTCGGGTCATAGATTGCTGAAAATAAAGGCTTTAGAAGATGTATCGATTTTGGGTTCACTTCTGTTGGGGAAATGGGCCTTACTCAATTGGCTATGTATCTAAAGTTCTAAAGGAAATAATAGTCTAAAATCTAAATAATATTTAGTTTTTATAATAAAGATCGGTATTGAAGGGTTGTTTCACAGTTGCTGAACGGTATGTAGGATGATTAAGTGGTCACAATGATTAAAACATTCTTATAATATAGTGCAAAATGATATATGGTTGTTTTCTAATTATTCATAATGAAATTAGGGTGTTGAATGGTTTTGTGAGATCCAAGATACAAGATCATTAAGAGGGAGGATTTTAAAACCATTAAGAGACATGCTTTTTTTTGGCCGAATAAAATTCGTCTCTTAGTGATTCAGAACATGCCTCTTAATGGAAGTATGAAACTATTAAGAGGTAAACAAATAGCTTAGTTTAAAACTTGATTCAAATCGATGAAGGCGAAAATATTGGATCGAAATCAGCTATTTTTACTAAGTTTACTTCTCAATTTCATATTTTTAGATAATTAGTTTTTCATTGAAGATATTTTCGAAATTTGGTTCTCAGCTTGTCCAGTATGATTCTAATCGGAATTGAACATTTTTTCTATTTATTTTTCAAGCTTCATACGACCTTATTGTATATTAATATTTTGTGATTCTAGAAATCCAAAGTTACAATCCACTTTAAGATGCTCACAAACCGGTTTAGAACGATCAATGGCCTGTTTATTAGTAGCTTAATGAGCTTAATGGAATTCATAGCTTTGGTCAGCTATACATAATTGTTTGGTAGTGACTTAATAATATAGAAGTGACTTATTTAGTAAGCTTCTAAGGAGCTTCATACGACCTCATTGTATATTAATATTTTGCGATCCAGGAATCCAAAGTTACAATCCACCTTAAGGCACTCTCAAACCGGTCTAGAACGATCAAGGGCGCGTTTATTAATAGATTCATGAGCTTAATGGAACTCAAAGCTTTAGTGAGCTGTACATAATTGTTTGGTAGTAATTTAATAATATAGAAAGTGACTTGTTTGGTAAGATTCTAGGGAGCTTCATACAAAAAAAAACAAGTTTTTTTTGTAAATCTTCCCCTCATAAATAAAAAAATGCATAACTTAATGCAAAAAAATTCAATGAAAAACTAACCAAACAACCTCTAGTTTTTAAGCAAAAAAAATTCTATGGAAAAATTATTTCGAACAAAAATCTTCTCAATCTACGCATCTATACTATATAATAAAACATTTGACAAAAACTCTCAAAAAACCATTTTTTATGCATAAAATATTGTTTATTTGATACATATTATTTAAATTCAATATTACAAATACATAAAGTTTCATGTTTGAATTTGTATAACTAAACACAGATAAACATAATCAAATAAAGGATAAATATCTTATTTTAAATATAAAAAATCCAAAATGTAATTAGAATACTGATTAAATTATAACAAAATAGTTAATTATTATCTTTATAAAAAATTATAAAATTAATCCAAAAATAAGTTGCATTGTTATTTAACTTAAATTGAATTATAATTAAAAAAAATGAATTAAAAAATTAAAAAAAAAAAGAATTTTTAAATAATTAATTTAATACTAATATTAACATATATCTTTTAAATTTTAAAAATAAAAATATTATCTACTTCTTCGTAACATTTGCATTAATTTCACATGAAAGTTGAAACCAGAATAAGATTAGAAGTTTATTACTCAAAAATTATATTTTTCATTATAATAAACAATAATTAAACCAAACTTTATTATATTTTAATAGATTTTGCGTCGTCATTTACCCGCCAATTATTTTCAACAATTTCTTGGAAAAAATGGAAACTTTGATCGGATTATTCAAAGATATCGCCGGCGGATTTCCTGATCACCGTGCTTTCAGCGTTTCCGGAAAGTTCGACGTCACACACTCCTGTAAACAAAACCGATTGCTTCAAAGTTGGGAGGAAGGAGATCACTTGCTCAGATGTGTGTGCTAGAAAACCCCCCCACTCTCATTTGAGCCCTAACCGGTGCTTATGCCTCTTCTGCCCCACGACGACTTTCGCCGGTGACCGGCCGTCTCCCGTCCCTTCTCCCCGGCGACGCCATCATGCCTCGACCAAAGCACGTACCGTAGCCCCCCTGATTTCTCTGCGACCCTGCTTCGGGACGGGAGTTCGCGCCTCTGACGACCAACGAGAACAACTCAGGTGCGCATTGTGTTCTTGGTCTCACGATTTCAACACTGATTAGCAATTGGAACATTTGGATTTAGTTAGATATCACTGCATTTGGATTCGAATACTTGCTAAAAAGCATTAGATGCGGGGTGGTTCCAATTTTTCTTTGAATCATACAGAGACTCAGAAGAAACCCTAATTCTCGATCTCAGATAACCAAATTTGTTTCTAAGTTTTTGTTTTATTCCATATGTAAACCTCCACAAATCTGCAGAAAGCAAGTCTGCATCTCTTGTTGTACATCAATATACCCAAGATTCCCATAAACCCTGTTGTAAAACCGCTTACTGTAGCGTAAATCCATATGTGCTCAAGATCATCACCGTCATCTTCATCTTTCTCAGCATTGCTTCCATTTGGGGATACTTCATCTCTGGTGCATTTCTTTGGTATTGTACTACCACAAAGCTCGTCGTTTCCGGCATAGATCGATGGGTCAATGAGCGTCTGGAGTTGATTTCCGGTGGGAATTCGTCCCGATAAGTTGTTGTATGACAAATTCAGATTGCTAAGAAACGTCAAATCTGAAATACTCCGAGGGATCATCCCGGAGAGATTGTTTACAGAAAGATCAAGAGACATAAGTGAATTCGTATCACCAATTCTATCCGGGATTCGACCCGTGAGATGATTATGTGACAAATTGAGACCAATTAATCCCGAAAGAATGGTTAATTCTTCAGGTATTTCGCCAACCAGTTTATTGCTTGAAAGATCCATGTTGACTACATACCTCATTATCGTTGTATACTCGAGGGAGACTCCTCTCATACCTGGATCACACTCTGCTCGAACCCGCCTGAGAAATAAAGGTTGGAGTCACCTCCGGTCATTCCGTTCAGCTTCTGGAAACATCGAGGGATCGTTCCTGTTAAGTTATTATCTCCCAAATCCATGATTTGAAGCTCAGAGCTTTGACACAATTCTACTGGAATTCCACCGATGAAGTTGTTTTTATGTAACCTTAGAACTACTAGAAACTTGATCTTTTCTCCGATCCATTTGGGTATGTTTCCAGATAATCTGTTCTCACCCAAATCCAAGACGTCTAAGCTTGTGCAATTTGCTAGAGTTGCCGGAAGTTCTCCATGGAAACTATTGTTGTTTAAATGTAACCATTGCAGTGAAGAACCAAGATGGCCTAGAGAGCTTGGAATGACCCCAGATAATCTATTGGAACTTAATATCATGATATTTAGTTCCTGGAGATTCTCGAAGCAACGTGGAAGGTTCCCGGATAATACATTTCTAGAAAGATCTAGAATAACTAAATCTGTAGCATTACATAGTGAATCTGGAATCGACCCGTTGAAGAGGTTGTTCTTAAGAAGCAACAATCTTGATACCCTAGCATAATCTGCTAACCGTTCAATAAAGGGGAAAGTCCTCATTGGCTCGGTTGTTTTGTTGGATGGAAGGTTTGTCAGTGGACCGTTGAGAAAGTTGTGGGACAGATCCAAGATCGAGATAACAGGCAACTCGTGAAGCCAATCTGGAAGAGGTCCATAGATGCTAGTGTTGGAAAGAATCAGTATAACAAGATTCCTTTGTGTTCGAATCCATGGAGGAAATTCTGATTCGATTTTGCAAGAACCGAGTAGAACGTGACTTATTTGGAAAGGAGGCATCCAATTAGGTGAAATCTTGAAGTTTAACATATGGTTGGAGGTTGCGGCCAAGTGTTTTAACGTTGATGTGTTGACGAAATGGGCTTCAGTGACTTCACCGCCTAAAGAATTGTTTGAAAGATCAAGAAACTGAAGTTTAGAGAGTTGCCCAATGGAATCCGGAAGAGACCCTTGTAATAAGTTCGAAGATAAATCAAGAAACTGGAGTTCTGAGAGATTTCCTAGCGAGAAAGGTATCGAAGACAACATATTGAAGTTCAGATACAAGATTTCTAGGTTGGAGAGTCGGCCAAGGGAGAACGGAATGCTCCCATTTAACAGGTTCGAAGATAAATCTAGTTTTCTCAACTCCATCAGATTTCCAAAAGACGCAGGAATCGAACCTGTTAATTGGTTTCCAGATAGATCGAATTCCCTCAAAGATGTTAAATTTCCTAGAGATTCTGGGATGGTTCCTGTTAACTGGTTATAACCAAGGTTCAATCTTTTCAAGTCAGTAAGCTTTTCTAGAGATGTTGGGATCTCACCACTAAACTTGTTGTCATTTAGAATCAGTGTTTCTAAACCAAATCGGGTGCATTCGGATACATTGGTCGATGGCCCATCGAGTCCCCCTTCCATATAGTTGAACGATAGATCTAACCACTTTATCTGACAGAAACTCCAGACGTTCGTATCTCGAATACACAGAAATCTGTTTCCAGCAAGGTTGAGTTTGGTAACGTTTTTCATGGCAGGAATCGAAGTATTGAATTTGTTGGTCGAAAGATCTAGAGCTCTTAGGGAGGTCAAGTTTTGTAAAAAGAGAGGGAACTCACCTTCAAACAGATTCGAACTAAGATCAAGCGTTTGAATTCCGGAAAGCGTGAGATTGGAATCAAGATGAGTACGATTGAAATGAGAATTAGAGAGATCACAACCCGACAAACGTAACTCTAGTAAAGAAGGAATCGTGTAGAACAGTACCTTATCAAAGTTCTGAGCTTCACCGACCCTCACTCCGCTCAGATCAAGATGTTCGAGTGATAAAAGACGTGAAACCCATATGAAATCGTCAACAACTAGTTCCATGTCACTGAGGTCAAGAGCACGTAAACCCGATAGATGTCCGATTTGACGAGGAATGACGCCAGAAAAGCCCGAGGAAGAAAGATTGAGAAATCTGAGATGTGTCATGGATCCGATGAACTCAGGAACCGGGTTGCTACCAAAATAGTTCCCACTTAAGTCCATGTAACTCAGCCGAGTCAACTCGGCCAAAGAAGAATTTAACCCGTTTCCCTCCAATTGTTCGATAGAACCAGAAGTATTGATTCCAAGATCGAGCCTCGTAACATGTCCGGTCACGTTATCACATCCGATACCCGCCCACTGGCAACAGTTATCGCCATCCCAAGATGATAGCCGATTAGTAGGGTCTGAAATAAGGCCGTTTTTGAACCGGAGAAGAGCATCCCGTTCTTGTTCCAAGCAACCGGAACTCGTATTATCGGCTCCGAAACCGAACTTTGCGGTTGCAAAAATAAACAACAGAAAGAACCCACCACCACATAGCTTCTCCATGATCAACTTCAATGCGATCGCTATCTAATTCTGATTGTAACTTATACCAGATTGACACCATAAATCAGGTCAGGCATTACTGCTCTCGACTCTTTCCACCCACGGAATGGAAAAAAGAAAAAGTCAAAAACTTTTATCATAAATCGTGGTTTTCCCAATTTGGAAGGTTGACTAACGAATCTTATTAGATTACAGAGTCAAGTTTATACGAGAACAGAACCAAATGAAAGAATAAGAAAACAACCACGTCATCCGCACAACCTCCTATACAGATTGTCGAGATGAGATTAGCCGAGTACAGATTAACCTAGAATGTCAAGTGCTACAGTGACAAACTTGCTCTGATACTATGTCAAATAACGAGGAATTGAAATCAAGGTATGTAAACCTAACAAGTAATATAGCAATAACAAGAAAGGCCCCTGAACTATACATAACTACATATAGCTAGCATACATACAGAATATGTATGTATAGACATGAAACCAAAAGCATATAGATCACAACCAAAAAGCATACAGCTTAATGAATGCCAATAAAATTGAAACAGAGAATATGAGGGCTGAATAATGTTGCATCACACTTAATTCAATGGTGGGGTACTTTTCTTATAGAAAAATTGAGCAAGTATATATGGTTAGGGAGCTAGCATTAAGGGAGGTTCATGAAACCAAGCTGGGATCGTTCGTTAAAGAAAATCTTTTAGATTGCTCGGGATTTTATAATGTCGAGACTCATCTCACTCGGGTCTGTTGCTTGCAACTCGACTTGGATCCCATCCAGTTCTCTCTTGAATCTGTCCTTGGAGCTTGCATACACCATCTTCATTCTCACCCTCGATGTATCTGGAGACCTGAAATCATGAGTTATTATGGTGATGTTAATTAAGTGACGGAATTGTATATGTAGGGGGTGATGAGATTATATATAGATGTATGTATGTACCAGGCAATGAAGAAAATCTTGCTTTTCTGACAATTTTCATCGGTGGTGAAGTCAAAGTCAAAGACAGCATAGCGGCATTCATCACCAGGGAGAGAGTTTGTGAAATCTTCGTAGGTTTGATCAGGGCCACCAATCTTATCAACGATCACCTGTTGTTCTTCGATCTTGAAGGTAATAAAACGGTAGTTTCTCTTTGCTTTTAACTCCAAAAACTTTAACTTACAGTCATCATGCACAGCCATTCCAGACGCCGAATTCGCCTAATCCACACATCATTACAACAAAAAAACCACAACAAAACACATGCCAATGCCAATACATCCATCATGTGATAAATCAAATAAATTTCTTGATAAAATTATAATAATATTTATATAAAAAAATAAAAATAAAGAACATGATGATGATGATGATGCATACATACCATGGTGGTGCAATTGGGTCAAGAGCAGAAATGCAAAACGAGGAAGAAAGGATGGGGATGGTGATGAGTATGGAGAAGATCCTTCAAATCTGGAAAACAATCAACAAAATTACAGATTTTTATGGGAACAAATGAAGGTTGAGAAATTTTCTTTCAGCCTCTTATGCTTCACCATTCGTTATTTTTTATATTATAACCAACAATTATTCCTGTCTTTCTTTATTTTATCGACAAAGTTTTTGTCACATTTTTTACAATTTTATCATACTAAATACTTACCCGGTAAGCACTTACTGGTAGGAGTCAAACACTATAATCTATTTTATCATATAAGATTGTAGTATATTAAAACAGTATCGTCTGCAACAATTTACTAGGTAAACGTTTACTCGGGTAAGAGTTCTTACCATCACTTACCAAGTAAGACTCTCTATCCCTATCATCGCACTTACTGGGTAAGGTTTTCGGCCCTTGCCATGTGGCATGTGCATCAGGTGAGGAAGGTTACCCGATCCACACTTAGCGGGTAAGTATTTAGTAAACGGCCCCTAAGGCCTTGTTCAGATAAAAAAGTTGGATATCGTGAGAAGATAAGAAAGAAAGGTTCATAAGTGAATCTATTGAAAAAAGTCTATTTGAATATGTAAACCGACGTTTTAGATTATTCATATGCTTCACATTCAATAATTCTCAAATTCACACGATATTTAACCTTCTCACTGTCGTATTATATGATCGTATTGACGACTTAGGGGTCGTTTACAAAATGTTTACCTGGTAAGTACTTACCGGGTAATTTTCCTTACCGGATGAACATGGCAAGGGGCAAGAATCTTACCCGGTAAGAGCGATAATAAGAATAAAGAGTCTTACCCGGTAAGTGAGGCGACGACTCTTACCCGGGTAAGCACTTACCAGGTAAATTGTTGAATAAAAGATGTTTTGATGTATCACAAACTTACCCGATAAAATAAATTATAGTGTTAACTCTTAATGGTAAACGTTTACCGGGTAAGCATTTAGATAAACGGCCCTTAAGTCTCCTTAACCATAGAATATATAAAACATCTCCTCTTTTTCATACCCACTGGTTCTTTTAGGACCCGGGGGTTAGCGTAGGTGCAGATAAGTTGGCTCAGATATTCACGATTAAAAAGGAAAAAGAACATCACATGATGGGAAATGATCCAAGAAATTGTAGATGTAAACAGCCATAAAGTATATAATACTAACTCTTGAATCTTGATATTCATTTTACACACTTTTAACTCATAAATAACCAAATTTAAAGAGTTCAAAATTGCATCCACAGAGGATTTGAAGTTCTGATTTTAACCCACAAAGTTAACCACTTTGGGTCCCTGTTTCTTCTTTGGTTTTACGTTCGATTCCTTAGAAGCAACATCCTCGGCTTTTGGTTCAGAAGTCGTCTTTTCTTTACCATCATCTATCGTTGTAAAATCGTCCTCAAGATCGTCACCGCTTGCAAACTTAGTCACCTTCCCTCTCGCCATCGATTCAATTCCAGTTGCTATCATCCAGAATAACAAATTCAAGTATCGATTCAAATACCATATCAAACGAATAACTCCAAAATAGACTACAATTCTTTCCAATTGGCAAAGAAATCTTACATCTTTTGTTGGATTCAATGTACATGCCGGAATTTCTAATGCCTTTATCTGGACAATCTTTAGCTAAATGTGTCACACCACCACATATTTTGCAGCAACCGCCCTATGGAACAGCCCAAAAAGAAACATTCAAATTCTATCAAAGAAGTCGAAAACATCATTTCTCCTTAGCCAACACACTCAAAATCAAGGTAAAAACACGAAATTATACCTTTGGATAGATTCCGTGAGCGTTTTTAGGGCAATCCTTGCTCAAATGTCCTTGTTCTTTACAAATAAAGCAAGTTGCAAACTTTGTTCCCCCTGCATCATGTTCATCATTTCAATTATAAATGCGTAACAATAACATTGTGGCTGTAAATAAATATGCAACACCATCACATATGCTGGTACGGATTCATCTAAAAATAAGAATAAAAACTACATAATGGAACTTAGGGGCTGTTTGATTGGTTTTCCATCAAGTCCTCAAATGGATAAATTTGATTGGGAGGGACAGGATTGGAAAAACTTGGCTTTCTGTATAAAACCCTTAAAAGCTTACTGAATAAAACAATTTTTTATACTATTAAGCAACTACCAAACAAAGTATGAATAGCTGATCGAATAAGCTCCAAGTCCCATCAAGCTCATTATGCCGCTAACAAACAGACCCTTAGAGGCTGTTTGGTTGGTTTTCCATTAAGTCCTATATAGATAAAGTTGTATGTGTGAATTAATTGGTCTATATAGATTGAGAAGGCTTTGTTTAGAAGGGTTTTTTCATGGATGGAAGAGGCGTTTTTTTAATTGGGAGTGACAGGTTTAGAAAAAACTTGGCTTTCAACATAAAGCTCCCTCCTAAAAGCTTACTAAATAAGCCACTTTCTATATCATTAAGTCATTACCAAAGAGTCATATATAGCCGACTGAACAAGTTGTTGGTCTCATTAAGCTCATTAAGCTGCTAACAAACAAATCCTTAATAGTGTATAAGTAAATCAATGTGTGTTCAAAGCTACCAACAAATCTTCAACAATGCATAACAGTCCTAAATAAGCGTAACTGCAAATATTCACACGGATAAAGCCAGAGAATGCCCGAGTTCTCCACAGTAACGGATGGGCAAATTACCATCTTGAAGAGGTTGGGGACATAAAGCCAGTGAATGCCCGATTTCTCCGCAGTTATAACATAACTTCTTATCGACGTTCTCCTCGTTCTTGTTGGGGCAATTCTTGAGACTGTGACCACGCTGCCGGCATAACAAACATATCTGCAAACATATAATCAATCACTATAAGTTCAGTCGACACCATAGAAAGTCAACAAAATTCCCATTTCAAAGAACACATTGTCCAACCAAATAAGGCATACCCATTGATTTACAGTTATAAGATAGACTGTTATTATGATCTGCATAAACCCTAAAACATGCAATCTTCTTCTACATTCTTGAATTCTTAAAGAGAGTTCAATTAGTTCTTTAGTAATCTAATTCTAAGGGTAAAGTTGATCACAACGGAAATCCCACTTCAAAAGCCCCATTTAGAAACTAACAATTAAGTTGCCAAACATACCATTTGTCCACTGTTATCCCTTTCGATATAAACCCTAATTCATCAAATTTAGGTGAATGTGATAATAACACACAGTTTTAGAAACTGAAATCAACATCAACCGCAAAATAGCAGAAACAAACCTTGTGTTTTTCCCACTGAGCTTTTTCAGGGCAATTTTTGGCAATATGGTTATCGGCTTTACAGATAAAACAACTATCACCAGGTCTCATACCAGGTATTCTGAGTGGGTGTTTCTTGTTAGTAGATCTTCTGGGTTTGGTTGGGTCATTGGAATCCGATTTCTTGCGCTTGAAATCACTCTTCTTTTTCTTCTTCTTCTTATTCGGATCCTTTGGAGGCGTGGGTTCGGGTTTTGGAAACTGTTCCGGGTGTTCTTCCTTGAATCGTTTGCGAGCTAATATCTGCCTTTTGCTCACCATTTTTGTACCGAAAACAAGCGACAGGATGAGAGCTTCTCGATAACTGAAGAATGGAAAACCCTGTAGAGAAAGAGGGTTGGAGTTGAAGTGGTTGAAAAGCGGGCCCTGTCTTCTCCAAAGCCCATAATCAAATGAAGCCCTAGTACCGCAAATCTAACCTTTTTAGTGTTGTTTGTTCCTAACAGTGATGGTAAAATAATAATATAAAAAAAAAAGGTTCCAGGTCGGGCCGGTCCCAAGATTTCTTATTATCGGTTCTGGTCTCGGTCGAAAAAGTTGAGTCCGGTCAAGCTTTATTGTAACCGGTTATAGGCCGTTGGTCCAGGTCATTAAAAATTCATTTTTTTTATTTTTATCTTTTTAATGATATATATTTTTAATACATTATAAAATTTGTAATTTGGTCACTCAAATACACTTTAAAAATACGTTGTATTATAATTAAAATTAGATTGTTTTTCAAAATATAGCGAGAAACCAATAATTATAAACGTTTTTTTGTGTTTTTTTGCGAATCGGGAACTTGGTATATAAATCCCTCAACCAAGACACTTATATATAGTGTTTAGAAAGCAAAAAATACAAAAAATGCCAAACACGGCTAGTTTTTTTAAAAAATAACGGCTATATTTTAAAAAGTAGCTACATTTTTTTAAAAATCGGGCCAAGCCAGGCTGGTCCATAACCGGTCCCGGTCCTTACCGTTACCGGACCGGGCTAGTTTGACCATCACTAGTTCCAAAGTTGTTGAATTGTCAGGTAAATATTTATGATTAAATGTTGTAAATGATTAAAATATTTTTATAATAAAATAAAAAATATATATATAATTGTTTGATAAATATTCAAAATAAAATTAGAATGCAAAATTGTGAATGATTATTTTAAGATGCAGACGTTTTCTTTTATCAAACAAGATTCACATATTAGCGATTTAAATTTTACTTCATAATGAAACTATTAAAAAATAAACAAATAACTCATTCGTATCGGATAAAAATCATTTGTCTCAAAATCACATCTCATTCTTACTCCACCAATAAAATTAAGTTATATCATATTTTCATTTATTTTAAATTTATTTAATTCATGTTTACATTAATATACAATTTTATAAAATCCTCGTATTTATTAATATAATTCACATATATTATTTTTCAATAATAAAATAGATTACACACATTAATATCACAAACACACACAGCTTTAAAAAACCCACAACTACATTCACAACTAGGGGTGTAAATGAGACGAGACAACTCGCGAGCTACTCGAAATCGACTCGGTCAACACTCGGTCAACACTCGACTCGAATAAGTTCGACTCGAACTCGAGCTCGACTCGACATACTAACGAGTCGAGCCGAGCTATCTGATACTCGACTCGATAGGCTCGTGAGATACTCGAATATATTTTTTATATAATTAATTATATAATTATATGATATTCTAAAGCCCAATGTGTATATATATATACATGTTCAGTTTTTATTTTGGGCCTAAAAAAGATAGTACCATGCCTTAGTCTTAGTCCATTGATCAGCCTTAGTCCATTGATCAGCCTTAGTCCATTGATCCATTCCACTTAGTCACTTACCCTAAGTCCCTCCCTAACCTCGCTCTCGCTCTCGCAAGTCGCAAGACGCAACAGAAATCGACGCTCCCTCCCTCCTCCCTCGCTCTCGCCGGTCGCTCTCCCTCACTCCTCCCTCGCTCTCGCCGGTCGCTCTCCATCTGCGGCTGCCTCTCGTCGCCGGTCGCTCTCC